GTATGTTGAGCCACAGTGCACATCTGAAAGGATATTGGCTGCCAAAAGACGCATGCATTTTGAACTGGGAGATCAGCAGAGAGAGGGTCAAGTGATACAGTTCTAAGCTTCATCTTATTTTATCAAGACAATAATCTTTTTGAGATTTTCATGTTCACGAAAACAAATTGTATATATTCATGAACCTTGTCTCAGATTCCTTCATTCACATTGTGTTTCAAATAATCACTCAGATACATTGTGTTTTATATAGTGGTTAGTACTCTGTGTTGTAGGAAGTTTTTCATACACACAGAACTTAATGTTAAGAGGGTCACAATTATTGATTTTATCCACTCTTGGTGGTGCATTTCTTGCTATCTTTGCAAGCCTATTTATGCCATAGGCTAGAGCACCTTTTCTTTTAAGCTATGCTTACTTTTGCACTTGTGAAAGTTTAATTTAAAATGTAACATTTCTAATTATAGTTATATTTATATTTCATTATAACCTAATAATTATAAATCTACCCCTGGGTGTCAGTGATGTTTAACCTGTTTCAGTGGGTCTTCCAGATTAAGACAGACTAGGAAGAAAGTCCTGGTGACTTCCTTACAAAGTCAGCCAATGAAGACTGTGGACTCCAGGAGTTTAATCTATAGCTGATCATGGGACTGGCATTGGGCTGGGCAGGGTTTGTTGCATTGTGGGTAGGGTAACCATGAGTTGGGGCCAGCCTGATGGTGGCCACCACCACTACCAAACTGTTTTCACTCAGAAGAGCCCTGAAGTGTTCTTGGTAATCCCCAGGGATCCCTCTTCCAGCATTGAGAAACCACTGGTTTATAGGAGAAATGGTTATTTAAATCATGGAGTGAGATAGGTAGTGCTTGAGATAGGGGGAAGGTGAAGGCCTGAATGGTACGATAAAACAGAATTTCCCTAAGACTAAGTGCTTAGAAGGGAGCTCTGGTGGCCTAATGGTAAAAAATACCACACTACAATTCCGAAGGCTTGAGGTTCAAATCCACCAGCTGCTCCACGAGAGAAGGATGGACAAGGGACAATCTCCTCCCGTGCGATTAACTGGAGGTTTAGCTATGTGTCAGATGTGACTAGATGGTAAACAACAACAATTATAAATTCACGTGCAGTTAGTTGTAAGAAATAAAGCAGAGAAATTACCGGGTACACTTTCTCAAAGGTGGCATCTTGCAAATAATAGTATCCACAAGTGGGATATGGACATCAACACAGTAGAGACACAGACCACTTCTCCATGTTGTCCTTTTATAACCACAGTCACTTGTCTCCCTCCTCCTGCCACCCATGGAAGTTATAATTTTGTAATTTTTAATAATGTTACATAACCATGACTCATACAGTATATAAAATTTTGGGCTTGGCATTTTCCACTCAATATAATCCCCTGCAGATTAATTTTGAAGTTATTCCTGTATCAAAGGTTTGTTCCTTTCTAATCCTGAGGAGTACTCCGTGGTTTGGTTAGCCATTCGCCTATGGAGAGGTATCTGGATTGTTTCCAATTTAGGGCTATTATGAATAAAGCTCTAGTGGACAGTTGTGTACAGATTCTGTGTGAACAAAAATTTATTTTCTCTAGGGGGAAAATGCCATGAGTACAATTGCTCAACTAAATGTTGAGGTTTTTTTGTTTGTTTGTTTGGTTGGGGTTTTTTTCCATGTTGAGTTTTGAATGTAGCTGCTAAACTATTTTTAAGAGTGGCTGTGCTCTTTTTGGTCACACCAGTAATGTATGATTGGTCCGGTTTCCCAGCATCCTCACCTCCATTTGTTGTTTTCATTATTTGTGGGGTTTTTTGTTTGTTTTATTTAGCTGCTCTTATAAGTATGGTGATATGTTCTTGTGGTTTTAATGTACACTTCCTAAATGGATATTCTTTTTGGTGAAATGCCTATTTATGGTCTTTTGTCCATTTTTTAATTGGATTTTTTGTTTACTGTTGAGCTGTGAAATGTTTATATTCCACATATTAGTTATAGCTTCATGGGAACTCTGGTGGCCGAGTGGCAAGGAATCGTGCTGCCCACCCAAAGGCACTAGAATCAAATCCACCAGCTACTCTGTGGGAGGAAGACGGACAGTCTCTTCCCGCGAGATTTACTGCCTTAGAAAACTCACGGGGAGGGGGCGGGGGGGGGGGTCCGGGTGTCCCGCTACAAGTCACTTCCAACTCAAGGGCACAGAGCCACACTAAACTTCTAGTATTGAGACTAGCTTTGGGGGCCTCGCAGATTAGCAGATAAAGAAGGTGTTTCTCTGTCAACCCAAAGGTAGGCAGTTCAAATCCACCAGCTACTCTCAGGGAGCAAGATGGTCGATCTTTCTTCCCATGAAATTTATAGCCTCTGAAAAATTCCTTATAGGGTCAACTATGAGTCGATTCCAGTTTGATGGCAATGGCTTTTCTTTAAAAAACAAACAAAAACCAAACCCAAAAAACCAATTTAAATGTTTTTCATTTGATGACATCCAGTTTATCAGTTTTTCCTTTTAGTGACTTTGTTTTAGGTGTCCTGTCTGAGAATTCTTCACCCTGCCCTAAATTCTAAAGATCTTCCACCCTGGTTTTTGTTCTCCTAAGAGTTTCAGAGTTACATATTTTATGTTTAAATCTGTGGCTCATTTGAGTTAATTTTTGTAGAAGATGCTAGGTTTGGGTTAAGTTCTTTTTTCTGTCTGTGGATTACCAACTGCTTTGCTCTACCACTATTTGTTGAAAAGGCTACCCCGCTTCCACGGAACCTTTCTATTTACACCTTTCTCAAAAATCATATGGCCGTGAGTCTGTTTCTGGGTCCTCCATTGTGTTCCATTGCCCAGGGCTCTGTCCCTTGTTACCTTCCTTTTACGTCTACAGTTTCTCTTGACTTCTGACATTTAAAATCAGAGGAGAAAGCCGTATGTTGGATGTGTTTCCAGAAACAGTGACTTTCAAATAGGATCTGAAGAGTAGAAAGATTCTCAAACAGGGCAGAGAATTAATTATTCCTGGGCGTCAAGTATGGGACTGTTCATTTTCATTTGATTAAAGGAGAAGCATGATTTCTGTAGGCCTATATATCTACATCTACAAAAGAAACAGGCTTGAATGAATAAATATTTGTTCTTTTCAGATTAAACATTCTAAACCATCCTATGGCTCCAATTCAAGTGAATTCTCATTGCTTATATTTATTATCAGTATTCATTTCTTTCCTTTACTCGCTTTCTGTGTGTGTCCAAATAGGAACAACCTCATGGAATTACAGGATATTTGTTTTCTGTGTGATTTGAAGGCATGTACCCTGGGATTTCATAGCAGAATCAAGGCTAGACGCCATTCTGAAGCTCTTGTCTGATGTTCTTTCCCATCCCACCTGCCTCTCTTTGAAGAAGATCACAACATGCTGCTTCCTCCTGTCAGACATAAGGAACTAAGAAAGAGGCGAAGTGGAACACATTCAGTATAACTTCTCCAAGCAGCAGTTAAATACCACAGCTTGTGGCAGGTCTTAAAACGGAGATAAATCTCTGGCCTCTAGCTTCTGAGAGTTTATAGCCAAAGACTCAAGACCATAAAAATTCATGAGAGGACAACTTAAAAGAGGCTATAATTACAGAACAGCTCAGTAATGTATAAAATCTAGGTTTGGACTGTGAGAAACAATATATTCAAACAGATTAAAGGGTAAGACACTTTCTATTTCACACAGTCAGTACAGAAGCAGGCAGAGCTACAGCAGTAGCTTAAGAATGTCACCAAGGACACTCTCGGTTTCATTTCCTCTTTGATCTGCTGGTTGACTCACTCAGATGTGGGCTTCATGGTTATATATTGCTGTTACAGCTCCAGGTCCAGGAATCATCTCATTACAATATATCTCAAATCTATTTTGGAGGAGAAAATAGTTTATTAACATGTCTTTTTTAAAAAAAATGCCTTTTTAAAAATAAATTAGGACTGTCTTTCCCCCAGAAGCTAATAGAGGAGGAAAAGATTGAAGATTTCAATGACTTAATATTACTTGCATTTACAACCAGAATCCATAATAGCTGTTGTTACATGCCATGCCATTCAGTCGACTACAACTTGCTTGGTTTTTTAGCATCCACAGATACCCAATACTCTTCACTAACACCCCAGTTAAAGGCATCAGTTCTACTTTTGCCATCCTTTATTCATTATCCAATTTTCAGACTCATAGGAAGCAACTGAAAATACATACCAAGGCTTGGATCAGATGCACCTTAGTCTTTAAACTGGCATTGTTGCTCTTTAGCACCTTGGAGAGATCCGTGCCAGATTTTCCTAATGAAGCACATCCATTCTTGACTGCTACTCATTTCATTTACTTTGTGCATATTTCCAAGAGGAACCAGTCCTTAGAGAGAGACGTCGCGCTGGGAGGGCTAGAGGATCAAGAGAGACGACTCTCCATGTGAGGGACTGACACGGTGCCTACCTCAGGCGGCTGAGGAAGGGTAGATTGTGAAGATGGCACATGACAGGGCTAAGTTCAGATCTGTTGTTCACAGGGTCTCTCTGGGTTGTGTCCGACTCCATGGTATCTAACAATAACAGCATTTCTTAATACACTTAAACATTCTAAATGTGGATGGACCTAACAACAAAGCTTCAAAATATATAAACCAAAAATTGAGTTGAAAGAAAGAACAGTCAACTCCAGATCAATAGTTGAAGATTACAACAGTCCTCTCTCAGTATGTAAATAACAAGAAGTCAGAAAATCAATAGGGATAAACCAAAATCCAACCCAACCCACTGCTGTTAGCTTGATTCTGATGCCTAGCAACTCTACAGGGCAGAGAAGAGTCTGCAGGATTTTCTAGCTGTAATCCTTACCTGCCTCGTCTTTCGCCTGTGGAGCACTCGGGGCATCCTGGTAGACTGCAAGCATGAACCTGTCAGCTAGTCACCAATACAAGTAAACTTTCACACCACCAGGACTTGGAAAACTCTTTCAGCCAACTTGACATGAATAACGCAGGTGTGAAAGGAACAGTCACCAAAACAGACTAAGTTTTGGGCCATTAAAAAAAAAAAAAGGTTGTTTAGTTGTCGGCTTTCAATTACTTTTTTTGGCTGAGTAAACAGTTTATGATGCAAATTAGGAAAAAACTGGTTTGAAGATCACATTAGTATTTTCCTAGTGACATTGTTTCAAATCTCAAATGTTCAAAGGACATATACTGAGAAACCATATACTAACTTTCAAATTTATTATTTTATTTGTTTAAAAGTATATAAAGAGAGAGTCAGAATGCTTACATACAGGAGCACCTCTGGGATGGGGGGTGGGGGACATTGTATACCAATGAAGGAGTTTATCTTTTGCTTTTTGAAGAGAGTGTGAACTGGGGGGGGAGGGGGTAGAGAAAAAAGTGCAACAATGAATGAATGGAAATCCAAAATCTCTGTAAATGTTCATTAAAATGCAACAACGAATGAATGGAAATCCAAAATCTCTGTAAATGTTCGTTAAAATTAGTAAAATTAAATTTAAAAAAAATGTACTTCTATTTACATGACAAAGTAGCCCGGTTAAGCACTCCAGCTAGAGTGCTCCTTGGAGGCAAAGATGGTGAAACTCCGTCTGATACTTTGGACATGTAGCTAGGTGAGGCTATTCTTTGGAAATGGACATCACGCTTGGAAAGATGGAGGGTCAGTGAATGACAGGAGGACCCTCAGTGAGGTGGGTTGACACGATGATTTCAGCAGTGGGGTCTAGTGTGTCAGAGATGATGAGGTTGACACAGGATAGGGCAGGGTTCAGGCTGGTTTTTCATAGGGTTGCTACCAGTCGTATTCTACTCAACAGCACCTAAGGACAACAACAGCATGGGAGAAAGATGTGATCGTTTGTTTCTGTGAAGATTACAGACTTGGAAACGATGAGACAATTCTACTCTATTCTCTATGATTACTATGAGGTAGAATTAAGGTTACTTACTTGACATATTGGACATATTAAGCATCTGCTTGCCAACCTTATTGAATGAATGTGCCTTTCACCACTGTTTAGATGAGAACTAAATGAGGTACAGACAATTGATTTGTTGTTCAAATATTTCTATAGGATTCTACGAAGTGCTGAGTGATGAAAAACCTTCTGCTTATATGAGGCATCACAACCGATTAAGTGGCTGGTCTTCAGATGAAAATGACTGGAATGAAAAGCTCTATCCAGTATGGAAAAGAGGAGACTCTAGGTGGAAAAACTGCTGGAAAGGTAACTCACGAGATTCCTCTCAAACCATTGTACATTGTATATTGAATTAAGCTGTTTAGGTCATAAGAGAGCACTCTAATTACCAAATGTGGGTATTCTAGTTACTAAAATGTCCCAGTAGTATCAGTTTTTGAGCCATCGGAAAAAGTTTAATCTCCTTAGAAATTTTCGGTTTGGCAGCTCTTGGAAGAGTTTGGAAAATGGACAGGATTAGCCGTTAAGCTACTATTGCAAGAATGATCATCTTCCAATGACTCCAAAGCATTTGGACCATTTCAGAGGTGGAGTTTTTGGAACGGCTCTCCATTTGCATGGAGGAGTAAGTCCTTCAGGGAAAGATTTGAGATGAGAAAACAAACCTTTTAATCTTATCCCCTCAGTTCAATTAAGCAGAAATTTTATGAATGAAAATTATTGTCCTCTTTATGCTTAGACAATCCTTTACCTGGTTTAATTGGTTTTTTTCATTTGTCTTCTTTAATGTTGTACTTTGGAAGGTAGAGTTAACAGGAATTCAGAATGTAAATTTAACGTATTATATAAAAAAGGCATTTGGGGGAGATGGGGGGAGGGCGGGGCAGGGAGAAGTGCAACAATGAATGAATGGAAATCCAAAATCTCTGTAAATGTTCATTAAAATTATTAAAATTTTTTAAAAAGGCATTTAGGTCTCATGATTCTTACTCGTAAGCTTTCTTTTTCTTTAAGTGTTTCTTTAACTATGAAAGGAGAAAGAAGTCCTTGATTATTGATCTTCATTTTGTATATCCTAGGAGGCCGTGTGCAGGCCGTCTTGACCAGTGACTCCCCAGCACTGGTGGGCTCAAATATAACATTTATGGTGAACCTAGTATTTCCCAGATGCCAAAAGGAGGATGCTGATGGCAACATTGTCTATGAGAAGAACTGCAGAAATGGTAAGGAATCGGTTAGTCAAGTCACAAAGATATGAGTTGTGTCTCACAAGCACTAGGGAACCATGTCATTAGTCTCCATGCTCACAAGTTACTTCTGTAAGTGTCAGATGCCTCTGTTGCCCTTCATACCTTTCTCCTCAAATGACATGACAGAGTAAGAATGTAGGTCTACCAGCACCTTCATCAGCATTGGCATAAGTCACCCTACTTCAGCAACTGATAGTTCTCAGTTGCTTAAAAGTTTCTTCAGAAGCCACGTTGTCATGTACCTCATTGATTTGGGAATTATGGCTTCAGTACTTGGAATTCTTTTGCCCCTTTTTAAAAAATAGCCACTCTGACCAGTTTTTATACGGATCATTATCATTTCTCTTCATGAGAATTAAGTAAAGCCGATGACAAGCACAAATGTGAAAGTCTACGCCATATTTATGTTCCTTTGGTCTTAGTCAAAGCATCTAAATTCTTTGTACATGTTAACGAGCACAAATGAGCACATTTATAGCATCTGGCTAAAAGAAGACATTCTTGAAGAAACAGAACAGATTATGAGACTTTGCTGATGGGAAGCTGTTAAGTGTACTTCAGGTGTGGCTTTTGTACTTATTGTTTAGAACTTTTTAAACTGTTCATGTATTCATTCCTTACCAATTTACACAGTCCCAGGAGCAAAATATTGTATGCGGTATGGAAAGGGTTTGATATTTTAAAAAATATTAAGTATTTAATATTTCTAATAATTATCCATCCCTTGTTTTTTTGCTCAAAAATTGACTCTTAAAATGTTCAAGCAATTATGTAGCCATTCAAGTATTTTTACAGTGAAAGAGTTCTCGTAATATAGGAAAGTATTTGTAGAGTATTCATGACCACTAGTAGGAACTAGAGATCTTTGAAGCAAAGTGGGCTCTAGGTCCAAGACAGAGAAAGTACCAGATGGGCCTGGGACACTTTATTGTGGCAGCAAACAAGGACCTGCTTGAACCCATATCAAAGGACATAGGAGCCACCTTAAAAGGACTTCTATGGGCCATATTTGGGACAATTTAAGAGTTTTTTAAAAAGAAAAATTCTGCAACAGCTGTTCAAAAGAGTTTTAGGTATGCCTTTTGATAATGCTGGCTGGACTCGAACCTTCAACCTTTGGATTAGTAGCTAAGTGCATTAGCCATTTGCTACATCCACAGACTCCTGTATTGGATAATTAGAGGTAAGCAGAGGGTAAAAGCAGAATATTGGAGCCCACAAAAAAGGAGAGAGATTAAAAAGATAAAGACTAGGATAGAAAGGTAGGAAGAATAACTGAAAGATATAGTGTCTGGAGGCCAATGGAGAAGCATATTAGAAGGAAAAGTGTGAGTTTATGTGAAAAAGTCAAGTATTGATTTATTTTTAAATAGCTAGACTCAAATAGTGGAAGAGTTAGAATGGAGATCATAAGGCAAAGGGCTAAAAAAAGAATTGAGAGATAGAAAGTAGAAGTCTCATACAAAGTTATCAATTAAAGAGACAAAACAGCGGAAATCATAGCTTATCATCAAAAATGGTGTTAAGTGAAAAATGTTTAAGATGTTACCCTTTTTAGGCATACACAGAACTTAAGAGAAAACAAAGATCCAAATGTCCTACAAGTATACAACTGCTCTCTCTTAGTGGAATTTCATGCATTTTCACAATGCTGAAGGGGGTTTTTTTTTATTTTATTTTTTTTTTTTTTTGCTGAAGGGTTTTATAAGGAAGGAATTTTTCTGAAAACTTTAAGTCAAAAAACTATACAAAACAGTCCTGTTTTACAATGGCTTACGAACTACACCACAGCACGAAAATAAAATCAATTTGCATACAAAAAAAAGAGAAAAATTCTGAACCTGAAATTCCAAACGACCCAGCTATTCCATTGCTTAGAATGTGTTATTGATTGCCGTTGAGTGAAGCACAACTCATTGCGACCCTATTTGAAGCCTTTCTAAAACTATTGCCATTTATCAAAGTTCATAGTTACATATACCCCAAGAAAATAAGAACTGAGGCTCAAATGGAGACTTGTACACAAATGTTCATGGCAGCATTATTCACCATCGCAAGAACATGGAAACAGCCCAGGTATCCAACCACAAACGAATAGATTGAGAAGTTGTGATACATTCATACAGTGTAATACTATGCAGCAAGCAGGAGCAATGATTTTGTAAATTAATACCCAACTTGGGAGGGACTGGAGAGCATAACGCTGAGTGAACTAACTCAGTCCCACAGGGACAAATACCGTATAAAACCATTACTGTTGAATGAATATGAGGATCGAAGGTGGAGGGAAGGGTGGAAATAGAAGGGTGGGGGGGATAGGATGTAAATCATAAGGTTGCACAATTAGACGGGTGGGTGGGGTGAAGGAAATGGGAAGGATCTTCTGTGAAAAACAATGCATTCAAATTTTGTAAATATATCAGAAGAAAATTTTTTTAAAAAGAGAAAAATCGTAAAATAAAGTGCTGAAAAGACTCTTCAAGACTGTTGCCTACTGCTGGCCAAGGTGAAGGGGTCAGAGAAAGACTCAACAAGGTGGATTGACACAGTGACTGTAACAATGGGCTCTCGCATGTCAGAGATGATGAGGGCGGCACTCTATTGTTCATAGGATCACTGAGTCATGGTGGGTTTGATGACCCTTAACAATAACAACAACATTGTCTAATGGGTAGAGTTCTGTTTAGGGTAATAATAATTTTTAGAAACAATGAGGATTGTTATACAACATTGTGAATGTAATTCATAGCGCAATTATACACTTTAACAAGGTTAAAATGACAAAGTATGTCTTATTTGTATTTTACCACAATCAGAAAAGTCAGTTCATGAAACACAAGAGAGAGTGGAAGGATTGCTCTAGATGAAAGGTTGTGACCATGGCATGTATAAAATGAAAAATTTTATACATACAAAAAAGTAGAAAGAGTACACTGAACAGCTAAATACCCTATTCCTAAATTTAAACATATTTGTGTATGCATTTCTTTTTCTATGAATCATTTCAAGAGGGATAAGAAACAAATGTAGGGTGTGACACTGATACTACTGGTGGGATGGGAATGGGGTTGTGTTTTTCTAGAAGGCCTTTATTCTTAGGATATGCATGCTAATTGGGGGTGGAGAGTTAATTGATTCAGGAAGACAAAGGTAGAGATAGAAGAGAATACCAAAGTAGAAAGACAAAGCATCCTTCAGGCAATTTGAATAGGTTCATGCTTTTTTAGATGCAATATGAAAAGAAGTATCTTACCAGTAGAATAGCGTCTTAGCACTGAATTTACCCAGGATAATGGCTTTCTGTGAAACTTTTAACTGCAATGTTAACAGATATGCAGAAAAGCATACAAGTTATAAATGTACTGTCTAATCAGTTCTGGATATTAGGGCTTAATTGTCTGAGAATGTTTAAGTTGATTACAAGCAAGCATTAGGATGTTTGATCCAGGCTCCTCATCACTAGATCTTCTCAGCCCAGATACCATTTTGCTTCTTTCTTTCTGTTTAGATACTGATTTGTCATCTGACTCGTATGTTTACAACTGGACAGCATGGACAGAGGATGATGACTGGGGAAATGCCACCAACCAAAGCCATCCCAACGTTTTTCCTGACGGGAGGCCTTTTCCGCACCACCATGGAAGGAAGAAATGGAATTTTGTCTACGTCTTCCACACACTGGGTAGAATTCCCTCCTCTCTCAACTCTCTCTTGACCCAACAATCTTTAGCAATTACAGAAGTATATCATTGTTGATTAATTTTATTATTTATTTAATATTATTTCCATTATCTGTCACAATTAAATGACCATTTGAGTAATTCAGATAACTTTGCCACTATAATAACAGAATAGTTTTCTCTCCTTGGAGTGTATTGAAATATGTGTTGATTGAATGCATGTTTAAGTCAGAGTTTACCCCCTTTTCAAAGTCAACAGTCATATTCTAGACCAATTGCATAGGCATGGCTGAAGAACACAAATGGATTCTTTATAGAATATTCTACAAGCATGGCTGGACTTTTCCAAGTCCCCTGAGCATTTTCCGTACAGTTTTCATTATCAAGTGATGCTATGACAGAAACTACAAGTGGGTGGCTTTACAAACGATTTTATTTTCTCATTATTTAGGAGGCTGTTGTTGTACACTATTGCATTAGAACCAACCCCTCGCTGAACCACCAGCAGGTTTTCAGAGGCAGTAAATCGCATGCCCATTCTTTTCCCTCAAAGCAACTGGTGGCTTTGAACTGCATGCCTTTGGGATTGCAGCATAGCTTCTTACCACTAGGCTAGCAGAGCTCATTTGTTTAGGAGGCCAGAAGTCCAATTTCAGGGAATGGAGCTCTGAGGACCTAGTCCAGAGGGAGTTATACTGCTAACCCAAAGGTCCTGCCACTCTCACATCCACCAGCAGCTCAGAGACATAGACGGACAATCTCTCATACTATTTTTAGCCTCTGAAAACCCACTTTAGGGTCAGCTATAGATTGATTATGACTCCACAGCAATGAGTTTTGAGTTTGAGTTCTAGAGAACTTGTTGGGTCTGGAGGATAGTCCTTGTGAGTTTCTGAGTTTCTCTCCTGAATAATCTTCTTGTGACTTGACATCTCCCCTCATTTCTGCTTGTTTAATCTTGTTTGAGACAAAGAATATCCTCTACTAAAGACAACCTTTCCCAAATGAGATTATAACCACAGGCAAAGAGTTTGAGATATACAACATGTATTTTGGAGAGATTCAATTAAATTAATAATACAATACCTACCTATTTTCAACTTTTATATCCTTTTATTCTTATTCTATAATTGAGAATTTTAACACTGAGGGTATAGCAACAATGATTCTGTTAATATTCCTTAGTTTAAGTGGAGGTTGAGAGATAAAAAGAAAATCTTAGTTAAAACTCAAATTGCCAGCAAGTCAGTTGTAACTCACAGACTTTTCATGGACTTTCAAAGAGTGTAAATCACAACCAGAGGAAAAACGCCCATCTTTCTCCCAAAGAGCCACTGATGGATTCAAACCCCAAGATTAGGTCTTCAGGTTAGTATTGCAGCTACCTATGAAATATGCCATCAGAACTCCCTAGACAAATCTTGGCCAGCCTAAACAAACTCCAGACGCTAACGAAATAAGCTGAGAAAAAGACAAGAAAACAACTGACAAAACCAAGTCGACTGAACTCTTTAAAAAGTACTAGGTCCCCCCACCCCGTATAAACAATAATATAAAAAATTAACACTTATTTGGATGGCACATAAATGGAAATTGGCTTTTATTTTCACTACATTTTTCTTTTTTGTGTGTTCTGAGAATATGTGTGTATGTATGTATGTATGTATGTATGTATGTATGTATGTATGTATTTACAAAGCAACATAGGCACTCTGTGAGGCTCTGGTGGTTTATTGGTGACAGTGAAGCTGCCATCCTAAATAAAGTCAAGTGGTTCAAATCTGCCAGCTGCTCCACAGTGGGAGAAAGATAGGCAATTTCCTTCCATGCAATTAACTGTCTCTGAAAAAAACCCCTGGAAAGTCAGCTATGAGACAGTTTTGATTTGATGGTACATAGCAACAGGGCTCTCTGTAGAAAATTTGGAAATACAGAAAAAAAAAAAGATAAAAATAATTGAAAATTAACAGCAGAGATTAACACAGATAATTAACATATGATGTTTTCTTTGGTAATATTTCTTGATTCAGATTATAATGTAAACATCTTTGCTTAATTCTGTGAGCATTTGAATACATCGCTAAAATTTAGTTAAACATTGTTTTTTGATTGTATAATATTCCATTGTGTATAAAGAAATTAGAAATATGGGCAAGCTCTTCATGAGAGATTTATAGCTTCCGACACCTGCTGGAGGGTCAGCTGTAAGTCAGTTCTGACTCCATGGCACATAACGACAGAAATACAATAATCTAACTAGTCCAATCTTCTTTGACAGTCTACTGACTTTTACCCCTCCTTTAATGCACAAATGACATCCGTTTCACTTTACTATTAGTAATTATTTTTAGGAAGATCAAGTTTAGGTTATTAGCAAAGCTGTTAAGTTCTTAGCTTAGTTTAAAATGTCACCAAGTTCCAAGCATTTGAAAATTCTTACCAGTAGAGCAGTCTCCAAATTTCCCAAGGTTTTTGTCTTCATCAAGTAGAGAAAAATGTTTCTTTAATTAACCTACTTGCAAGTCAAAGAAGCATATTAATGATACATATCAGCTGAACAAAGTACAAAACATGGCAGGCATTTGTATTAACTCTAAGCCCTTCTACTCAAATCAGTTATTTTGAAGTTGACTTCTTTTACAGTGACACCACATCCCTGTCAACTCAATAAATGTCATGATTTCTCTGACCTGCCACTTCCACGACAGAATTTTGACAGTTCACATTAAGTTAATTTCACTCCCTAATACTCTGGCTTCCTGTTAGTCTAGTTGACATACATTAACTTATTGCTGGTGTGCCATTTAGTCACTTAGCACTCATAGCGACCCTATGTGCCATAGCTCTGAAACTTGCTCTATCTTGTGCCAACTTTTCTATCTCTGACTCATTATCCCAGTCACTGTATCAATCCATCTCACTGATGGTCTCTCTCTCTCTCTCCATCCCTTCACCCTTCCAAGTATGATGGAAATGTTATTTATTTAGACATTCACTCTGCACCCGGAATTTGCTGCTTTTCTAACATGACTTTTGAACTTACACCTTCCTCAGAGTCTAAGAGCTAACTGATACTCTTCTCAGCTAATGTTACCACTGTAGTCTCAGCAGTCAATGCTGGAGCTAATGTTTTCTTCACATATAACTAACTGCCTGAGAGGCATCTCTTCCAGCTACAAACTCCAATAGAGCTGTCCTTGCATCTTTAAGTGAAGGGTCATTCCAAAAACACCTCCCTTAGGGGACCAGGATGCTTTTCTGACTGGGTTCACTGTGGTAAACAGGGTCAGTCTGATCTTCCAAACTTCTCTGACTCACAAAGCTTACAATTCATACCAGTATCTGTCAACTGCACATCTCTACTGGGCGCCGTGTTGACTCACACAATCCTTGAGTCCTGAAACTGCCAGAAGCAGTTGGATTAGAAAAGGGTTGGAGAAAGAAAATATATGGCTAAAGAGCAGCCTTGAAATATGTTTATGAGGCCACTGAAAGATGTCATCCTGAGAAAGGTGGAGGATCAGGCAAAGAGAGGAAAACCCTTAAGGACCTGCATTAACAGTGACTGTAGCAACGGAATTGAGAATGTTGGACATCATGAAGGTGACACGGGATAGGGCAAGGTTCAGACGCACTGTTAGTAGGGTCGCTATGATACGTAGTCGACTCGACAGCACCTGACAAGAAAACAATATATTTCTTTTCCTCTATTTCTTGCTGACCTTTAGGTCAGTAAGGTGCTATGGGAAGACAAGGGGAAAGGTTATCAGGCTTGTTAACTGAAGGGTTGGAAGTTGAAATCCACCAGCCACTGTGTGAGTAGGTAGTCTCCTCCTGTAAAGACAGAAAGAAACCCAATGGAGAGTCACCTTAGTCAGAATCCACTTGACAGCAGTTGGATTTTTTGGTTTCTAAGGTCAGCAGTCACGGCAAGCCATTTGCACCACTAAGGAACCAAAAATTTAGATATAAAGAGTTATAATAAGGTCACTTGTTAGTTTTTTAATTTTTTTTTAATTACTTTGACTCCTCCAGATACTTCACCATTACATAAAGTGTTTTCTTCAGGAAAGAAATGCATTCCAGGTGTAAAGTCATTTACTTATAAAGAATATATTTGTAAACTAAAAGGTTTTTTATATATCACTAAACAGCTCAAATCACTTTAACAGCTCATATCATTTTAACTAAATATGTGCAATTACATTTATGTAATTCATGGTTTTGTTTTATAAGATTTTATATAGAAATGAGCATGAGGTCATCTTCCTTTCTGAAATAACCAGGGCTATGTTCAAAGCCTATGTTTCCCTAAAATAATCTCTTCCAAATAATTATCGTGAATCTTTAAGAAAGGAATAATCCCCTATAATGATTATGTGATGACTGAAAATTTCCATCCACTTAAAGGTCAGTATTTCCAGAAGTTGGGACGCTGTTCAGCAGGAGTTTCTATAAACACAGCCAACATGACAGTGGGCACTCAACTCATGGAAGTGACTGTCTATAGAAGACACCAGCGGGCATTTGTTCCCATTGCAAAAGTTCAGGACTTGTATGTGGTAACAGGTGAGTGATGTGAAGTCATGCAGGTCTTGTTTGTGGGCTGAAAAAGAATTCGAGTCAAACATCCAGAATCTGGTTAGGATTCCCCTAGACTCCTTCCCAAATGTTTACAAATAGTTCTGTTGTAGTCCATTTATGTTTTCCAGAAGAGTTTAGGAAAACAAGAAAGAGTAATAGGAAAAGATAAAATAACGGTGGATAATCCTCAATTCAAAGTTTTTGAACCTAAAAGCATCATTGAAGTGTCTGTTTAAAAGCATATGACCATGTCTTCTTTCTTTCATGTTTAATGTTTCCTGCAGATCAGATTCCTATATTTGTGAATATGTCTCAGAAGAATGATCGCAATGTATCTGACGAAACTTTTCTCAGGGACCTCCCCATCGTGTTCAATGTCCTGATCCATGACCCTAGCCACTTCCTTAATACGTCTGCCGTTAAATATAAGTGGAACTTTGGGGACAATACTGGTCTGTTCGTCTCTAACACCCACATTTCAAACCACACCTACGAACTCAATGGGACCTTCAGTTTTAATCTCACTGTGCAAGCTTCAGTGCCTGGACCTTGTCCTCCACCTTCACCTGGGCCTCCAACACCCACCCCTACTTTAGGTAAGTGTTTTCTAGCAGTCTCTGAGGTCTTACCAGCTAAAAACCATTCACACAGCTTGTTATTAAGTATCTTTGAGGCGATTTGGACTTACAGGGACCCTGTGTTACAGTAGAACTGACCCATAGGATTTTTCAAACTAATCTATATGGGGAGAAGCCCTGGTAACCCAGTGTGTGGTTTATTGGGCAGCTGATTGAAAGGCTGGCAGTTGGAATCTACCAGGAGCTCCTCAAGAGAAAGATGAACAATCTCTTTCTGTAAAGTCTTTCAACCTCAGAAACTGATGGAGGGTCCCTATCAGTCAGAATTGACTTGATGGCAATAGGTAATGGAGATGAATTTAGACACTTAGCCCTTTGTATGTGCTGTCGAATCAAGTGTGACTCATAGCGAACTTATAAACAACAGATCTGAACCCTGTCCTATCCTGTGCCATCCTCATTGTCTCTGACACACTTGAGCCCATTGTTGCAGTTGCTATGGCAATCTATCTCATTGACCGGCTTCCTCTACCCCACTGAGCCTTTCCAAGCCTGACGCCCAAAGGGTGATAATTCTCTCACTGGTCCCAAGAGGGCGCCATGACCAAGCCTAGAGAAGAAGGGCTCCATTCTTAGTTTTACTAAAACCTGTTTGTAATAAAATGAGATCTTGTTAAATTAAAAATATTAGTTATTATGTCCGATTTTTAGGAATTCTTTTTTGAAATGTTTTACATTCTAATACGAATGCATGTACTTTAGTTAGTAGAAACTCAAGCAACATGGATGCCTACAGTGAAAAATCTCTATTCACATTTTCTTCCCAAGAGTTAACAATTATTAAAAGTCCTGAGTTTTTCCTTCTGCATCTTTTTCTTTTATAAGTTTTTAGTTTATATTGGTTTACTTGCAAATTTCTTAAACATTGTGTTTCACACTATCTTTCATTCACATTGTGCTTCGTTCATTCTGATTCATCATCTTTTATAAAATGAACCGATATTGAACTATACCCACCCTGCCGCATTCCCCCCATTTTCTTTACCCACCCCGCCCTCCATCTGTCAAATTGTGTGAACCTATGATTTCCCCTCTGCCCATCCTCACCCCTCTGTGCCTACCCTCCCCCACCTTGGATCCCCATACATGTTTTACTAGTTATCTTTCTATTTCTGCAGTAATGGTCTCATATAGTATTTCTCCTTATAGGACTTAGTTCACTCAACATTAAGCTCTCCAGTCCCTCTCACATTAGGTAGTAATTTTCGAAATGATTGCTCCTGAGTGCTACATTTCATTGTGTGAATGTACCACAATTTCTTTCTTTCTAGGAAAAAATATGTCCGTTTAATGACGAAAGTGCACCTGACCCATATTATGTCTTTTTTTTTCCAGTTTTTAAAAAAATAATTTTAATGAACATTTACAGAGAGTTTGGATTTCCATTCATTCATTGCTGCACTTCTCTCCCCGCCCAGCCCTTCCCCCCATCCCAGTTCGCTCCTCTCTTTGAAAAGTAAAATAAACACTCTCTCCCTGGTACACTATCTCCCCACCCCATGTACATTCCCCTATGCAACCTTAATTGTGGACTCTGTGATAACCATAATACTCTATCATACATCGCTTTAAAATTATTCTCTCCCTCATCTGTTTCAGTGCAGTATCCACAATTTATCCAGTTTTCCTCAGTCTTACCACAACCCTGATATCAGTCCCATTTTACAGCAGTGGCACCATGCAATATTTGTCCTTTTGCGACTGAGATATTTCACTCAGCATAATGTCCTCTAGGCTCACCCATTTTGAATAATATTGAATGAGTTCCTTGTTTTTCAATGCAGCATAGTATTCCATTGTGTGAATATACCACAGCTTCTCTATCCATTCGTTTGTTGATGGACACCTGGGTTGTTTCCAACTCCTTGCTATTGTGAACAAAGCTGTGATAAACATTGGTGTGCATATATCTGCTTGGATGTCAGTTATGGTCTCTTTGTGATATATTACCAGTAGTGGAATTGCTGGGTCAAATGGTATATTTGCAAATTTTTGAGAAAGCGCCATATCGCCTTCCACAGTGGTTGCACCATTTTACACTCCCACCAACAGTGAATAAGGGTTCCAGTTTCTCCACAACCTCACCAGCATTTGTTGCTTGCTGTTCTGTTAAATTTTGCTATTCTGACTGGGGTGAGATGATATCTCATAGTTGTTTTGATGTACCACAATTTCTTAAGCCATTCAACTGAGGTTCTTGAGATGGTGAATAATGCTTCTATGAATACTTGTGTACAAATCTCCATTTGTGCCCCAGTTTTATTTTTCTCAGGTTTTATTCCAAGCAGTGGAATACCTGAGTCTAATGGAATTTGTGTTCAGCTTTTTGAGGAAGCACCAAACTGTCTTCCAGAGTGGTTGTACCATTTTACACTCCCACTAACAGGGTACAAGAGTTCCTATCTCTCCACATCCTTTCCAATATTTATTGCTTGCTGTCCTGTTAAACTTTGCCACTACTACTGGCATGAGATGATATCTCAGTGTGGTTTTGATTTGCATTTCTCTTATCGCCAATGATTTTGAGCATTTCTTTATGTGTTTGTTGGCCATCCGACTGTCTTCCTCTGTGAAAAATCTTTCCATTCCTTTTACCCATTTTGTAATTGTGGAGGCCCTGTGGGGTTCTGTAAACCTCTGTTATGATACCATTTGGATTTTTTTCTATGCACTTATACGCTTATATGAATATATAGAGATTTTGTTGTTTGGAATTTTATGGAAACAGACTGAAGTTATATATTTTTTTTAACAGCCTCCTTTTTTTCCCCACTTAACAAATATAATGATATTTTTCTACTGTCAGTACATATAAATTTATCTCATTATACGTAATAATCACATATATTTTTGGCATGTATCTTTTTGACTGCTAAGTGAACGGCTGGTGATTCAAAGCCGCTAGACACTCCTCCAGGGGAAGATAAGGCAGTCTCCTCCGGCCAAGGGTCAACCTGAGTGGAAATCATTCTGGGCAGTGGACTGACTGATTTACTTAGCTGATCAGTAATATTGATGGATGATTACAAAAGCAGCACAATGCCCTACAGTCTAGGCCACCAGAGCTCCTTCACTGATGACTCAGACTCCAAAACCTCACTACCATGGCTTCAGTTGTGACTCATCCAAAGCTGTCAATCACAGCTGGAGGAGCCTGCCTTTCTTCTACTGAGGAGCTGCTAGTGGAACTGACATACCAAAGACAAGCTGCCTTTGTGTAGCAGAGCAACTAAGTGCAAAGTAGGCCCCAAGAGCTCCCTGATGGATGATTAGTTCAGTCCTTGTCCAGTAACTGTTATTACTGCATTAAGCACTTTTAAACATATGCCGTCATTCTGGCTTGGCAGGAGAATCAGCTTTTTTATCTGCAAGTATTGATGTTTTCCTTAAGATAAGAGAGATTTTTTTTAAATTAAAAAAAAAAATTCTAGAAGCCTTTAACTTCTGCACTTAGGAATGCCTGGTTAGTAAAAGGACTCAATATCAGTCCACTTGGAATTGCATGTTTATTAAACAAGTTTATTTTTTTTTAGAATCTATTTATATTGCAGCATAAGCACATTAACAGAGAACTGCCAGAAGTCCAAGTCCAGGCTGGGTTTAGAAGGGGTCATGGTACTAGGGATATTGTAACCAATGTTAGATGGATCTTAGCTGAAAGCAGGGAATACCAGAGGAATGTATATCTGTGTTTCATTGATTATGCAAAGGCATTTGACTGGGTGGATCATAACAAACTGTGGCTGACTCTGAGAAGAATGGGAATCCCAGAACACTTGATCGTGCTAATGCGAAACCTATACTTGGACCAAGAGGCAGTTGTCAGAATAGAGCAAGGAAACACTGCATGGTTCAAAATGGAAAGGGCGTATGCCAGGGATGTGTCCTGTCTCCATACCTTTTCAACCTGTAGGCAGAACAGATTATCCAGGAGGCTGGGCTCTATGAGGAGAAATGTGGGGTCAAGATTGGTGGAAGATATATCAACAATCTGTGTTATACAGATGACACAACCCTGCTTGCTGAAACTGAGGAGGATCTGTATTACTGGAGAAAAGAAACAAATCTTTTTTTTCCCCTTGTTGTGTTCCATCGAGTTGGGTCTGACTAGCCCAGGAAGAGCCTGCCTGTCCTTCTCCAGTGGAGCATCTGGAGGAATCTGTGCGCTTCAGGATTGTGGTGCAGTTTCTTGCCACTAGGCACCAGAGCTCCCTGAAACAAATCCTTTTTAACTTACACAACAGGCATAAGAGACATATTTTACACATATTTCCTCATTTAAGCCTCTTGATTCCACTCTTGGAGGTCAGTTTGCAGTATTCCCATTTTACTGATAGCAAATTGAGGTGAAGATGAATTAAATGATGTACCCAAAGTCTCAAACATCTAAAAACAAGGGGTGCTAGAATATGAGACCTGAATGCCTAACTCCAAAATTCAAATGTGACTTTTGTCTATCATGGTGAACTCTGTGTCATTATGATTGTTGTATCACACATTTAGATATGGTTCCTACTTTCCATTTGTTTCCTGTGTTTAAACAAGACATAGAATTGTATCTGTTTACCTAGCTTAGCAATTATAACCACAATGTCTCTTTTATCCATATACATTCATTACACAGAAAGTTTCTGCAGCGACTTGAACTGCAAAGAATTGGGGGTGTTTTTCTAAAGAGCAGATGTTCTCATTTGGGATGATGTCATACACATCTTACAGTCTTAGCGACTATTCTAAAACCTTCTCTCTCAAACTCCCCAGGTCCTACTAGTAACAGCCCCCTGGAGCTGAATGAGGTTCCTGACGGAAGTTGCCAGATTAACAGATATGGTTACTTTACAGCCGTCATCACAATTGTAGGTAAGGCTGAAGACCGATGGGCTAGAGTTGTGAGAGTCCAGCTAAGCCAAACTTTGACAAGGTGGATGTGGGACTCAAGGGCTCCCACTGCTCTTCAGAGGAAGGACCATACTGGCCAGGTGTGTGGTGGTTTCCTACCTACCTGTCCTGGCCCTCCCTGGACACCATGGGGGTGGATGAGCCATGGATGTGGCCAGCCTGCCCTGGGTTAGGCCTCAGCTCCCTGCCTGCTAGCAATGTGAATTAATATGGAGTTGAAGGAAGGCTAGTATGGACTTCCTCCAACTCTCACTCCCTTCCTCTGGCTAATTCTTACAGCCACACTCATAGGCTGTACAGAGGGACTGGGCAAAGTCGCCACATACAGCTCCATGCTTGTGTGTAGAAGAGAGAGGTGAAGGGGAAACCCAAGCTGTGCTTCCTGGGACAAGGCCACTTCCCCTAAGGCATACACAGACTTCGGAAAGAAAAGTCTAGCCTGGCCTAACAGTGCAGTGTGACTTTTGAAAATGCTGCATGGAAATGCATTCAGAGCTAGGGGGTGAATTCCTGGGTCTGGGATGTTTCAGCACTTTGACGAGAAGATTGTCTCCATTTGGCCTGCTTTGTGAGGTTGTGGTTGGGTTTGTTTCTGTTGTGTGGTGACATGTTTTCCCTTGGTTTTGTTAGAGGGAATCCTGGAAGTTAACATCATGCAGATGACAAATATCCTGATGCCACAGTCACAGCCTGGAAACTCCCTGGTGGACTTGGTCGTGACCTGCCAAGGGACGTAAGTACATTGTCTCAGTTGGTGAGATGTGGACAGACTAAGGATTCCAAGGAAGAGCGAAGGCTTTCACACAACTCTCCCCTTCTAAGTGGATTTAAATTCAGTGTCAGGTTTACAAAGTGCCCCTGGAGGTACCAGCAAGCTTGCATCTGTTTTGCTAGATCTGGGAAGTAATTACCTTTAGCTGTTACACTGAATAATAAATATTATACTTACTTGAACACCAAAACTTTTGCACTGGGATTTTGGAGAGGAGCATTGAATATTCCATAGACTGCCAAAAGAGCAAAGAGATCTGTCTTGGACTTAAAGGTAAAGATAGTGAGCCTTTTTCTCATATACTCTGGGTTGGCAGAAGCCAGTCCTTGGAAAAAGACATCATATTGGGAAAGGACAAGGGTCAGAGAAAGAGTGGAAAGTGCTCATTGACAAAGTGACTGTCATAATGGACTCAAGCATATTAGACACGCTGAGGCTGGATCAGGATAGGACAAAGTTCAGATCTGTTGTTCACAGGGTCACTATGAGCTGTAGTCAGCTCAACAGCACCTAATAAAAACAAAGTACTTTTCATGTGTCATCACTTTGACTCTTTTTTTTTATTAAATTTTATTAGTTTTAATGAACATTTACAGAGATTTTGGGTTTTCATTCATTCATTGTTGCACTGTTTTCTCACCCTCCTCGCCAGTTCGTTCTTCTTTCCCCCTCCATGTCTGTTTTAATTGTCCAATTGCCACAGTGCTTGTCAAAGCCAGTTCTGATTAATCTCCTTTGTCAGTGTGTCCCTTGCCATTCCCTATC